CACATTTCTAAGCCAGGAATGTATCATAATCAATCCATTCATTCCAGATCTTGATGCTATTTTAACTCCCATACCGAGCTGAAGTTGCAGACTCTCAGTCTGCTGAACTTTCGAGCTGTTTTATCAAAACCATTTTCTTAAACTTTAGAGGGATCTGTGAAACCATCTAAAATGTTTAGTCACTAAGCACCAGACTATTGCATATATATGTAGGCAGAAGAATATATTTCAATGAAAAAGGAGCCTCATGGTAGTCATGAAGACATACACATATAGAACTTGTCAACTCCAAACTTTTTTGTAAGACTGGCAGTACTGATCTGAATTAATACTTTAAGGAGATTACCTGTCCAGTCTCTTCTTCCAGCTTTTCATAGAGTTTGATGCTGTAAGAATGAATTTTCTTCAGGTTTATTCCAGGATGAAAATAAGTAGTTAAACCAGCCTTAAACAAGGAATAGGAACAACAACATAGAGATATGATTAGAAATGCAGTGGTTTTTTTCCCTCCTTCCAATTGTCATTGAAAAGGAACTGTTAAAATACTGTAAAGAAAAGCAACACATGAGTAGAGCCAACTGCTACAAAAATAAAACCAAAATCCTTTCCTACTTAGAACATTTTCGTTCTCTACACATGTGTTTTTTTCACCTGTCTTTTCTCATCAAATTTGTCAACCCATGATACTGTTGCAGTTGTTCTCTCCTATGGTTTCCTTTCTTGCTTAAATTATTCAGTTGTCTGTTTCAAATCTTTCAGAAGAGACACACAACTCCATTCTTGACCCACTAAATCAACTGGTTAAATGTCTCATAGTAGGATCTTTTCCTTCATGCAGATGGAGATGGGAGAGAAACCAAACCAAACCGTCACATACACCAGATCTTAACAGTGTGAACAGCAGGGCCGTGGAAGTCAAGTATTCTTCTATTCTCAAGAGTTGTCTCATGTGGTAGTTAAAGAGCAATTGCTGCATTTCAGAAGTAATTTAAGAAATCACTATATATATTTGCACATCATTTTACCATTACCAGGTCTGACTTCAGAAGGCTGTCAAGCCCTTTTGGCTTCATGCAGAGGTAAAATCAAGAAGTTACCACAGCCTCTTCTGTATTTGAGGATACTGTTCACCTGCCTACAGTAGAGACAGCTACATCAATCTAATGACATTCATAGCTGCAGAGATTTAGCACTTAGAAAAATTGGAATTTAAGGGTTATTAGAGCTAAGCACATGTCTTTTTATCTCCTGCATCTGACATCTCTCTAAATCTCTTTTTCCAAGGGACACAACAGAAATGCAAAATTACCTTATGTTTTCAAGATAACTACACTGCTTTGAATATTTTATATTTATACATAGCACATATTTTACTAACCAAAACAGGGCTTATTCATAGATTCAGGTTGCTTCAATTAAGGAAACTAGACACAAGATTCCATCTTGGCATTCACTGCCATTCTGAGGAAAAAACTGCAGGAAATACCAAAGTGAAAAGTAGCACATACAGTAGAGTTCTGATGGTTTCTTTGTAAGTTGCCTAGTATGCATATACATTAGCAAATTTTGATTTTAACTCATTAACTCTGTTCTGTGCTACACATTTAAGGCTTTAACTTCCAAAGCTAGTGGAGCAACTGTACGCAAATGAATAACAAAAGCAAGATTTAGTGGTCTTTGAAGATATATTTCAACTCAAACTAATTTAGTTATGCTAAGAACCTATTAAATGTTACACTTCTTTATCATTAATAGCAACGTATATTGCATGAATTAAATCACACATCATCATTTTTTTCAACTATGGCCTCTTCTGACCCATCTTTCTTGGTGTGGCTTCACATTTAAGACCAGATCTTTTTATTCAGAAACAATTAATTTGAAGCTGTTCTTAGCAAATGGCTTACCATCAAAACCATGAATCATATTCACTGCCTGAGATGACAGGTACTCAGACTCTTCAGAGCAAGAGTATGATAACTGTCTGTCATTACTTATTTTATGTCTCTATACTAGCTACAGTGTTAAAAGTTTTCCCTACTTTTCTCTGTGTTTTATTAATGCCAAAATAAACCAATGGAAGAAAATTTCAAAATTAGTCATTTACTAGGATTATATTTTTCAGTTGTGCCTATGTTTTACTCATAAATTCGGCTTCAGTTCCCTGCTTGTATTTGGTATTGTTCATTACCACAACAATCCCAGTTTAAAAAAATGATAACACATATCTGTAGAAGGGAGATAAATCTACTAAGGGCCACATTAAGTACAAAGCAGGCATGTTGGATTCAGAAAGACCCTGGGCTAAATTAATAGTCTGGAAAAACATTACTTGTCCCATTCTTATTATCATATCAGATCATCATTATACTGGACACTGCTGGAGACTAGATATTTGACTAAATGAATTTTTGATCTTATTTGGTACATGTGCTTTTATGTTGTTGTGAACACATTTATTTTAATTATCTCAGACCAAAACCCAGGGCTCTTTCACTGAAGAATTCGTAATTAAAACTTGTTTATTTCTTAAAAATAAGTCCTAAGGGCCTTTGTTCTGTGTGCTCAGAATAAAGAAATAAATTAGGCATTGAAATGTTTACACTTCTTTAGCCATGTTCACATCTGTGAGCAATTAATTTACTTGTACCTGCAGTTTTGTCATCTGAAATTGTTTTTACTGTCTATTTTTATTTATGTAAATATTTTCTGGTCTTCCGTTATTTTTCAAAATCTAGTAATATGTTTTCTAGATGTAGGGTAATTCCATTTTATTGGTCACTGTTACTAAAGTCTTTTGAATCAAGTGAACCACAAATCACTTGCAAGTTAGCTACAAAACCACACACATTCAAGATCGCTAAATTGCAGAAACTAAACAAAACCTTCTCTCTTTGTTTTTTTTAAGTGAAGAAAAGAATTTTAAACACATTTGATGCCTTTTGGCTTCAGATAATGGATGTTTCTGATTTCAGGCATGCAGTTGAGAGAAGACTATAACCTGACTCTACTATACAAAAAATAAGATCATGGAATCATGAAATACTGATAATAAACCAAACAGATTGAACTGGACCTCAGGAGGTCTCTATCCAACCTCATTGAAAACAAGGTCAGTTACAAGATCAGACCAGGCTGCTTAGGATTTTGTCCAGCCCTATCTTGAAAATCTCCAAGGACAGAGACTGCACTATTTTCCTGGCCAAGTATGGAACTTTGCATTTTTCTCTGTCCTTGTTAAATTTTATGAAGTTCCTGTCCTTCCATCTTCACAGCCTGTCTAGGTCCTTTAGCATGGAAGCTTTGCCCTTATGTGCATTGTCGGTCTTCCCAGTTTGGTATGAACTGCAAACTGGATGAACATGTATTTTAACACCTACTCCAGATTATGATAGAGATATTAAACAGGATGGGCCCCAGGACAGACCCCTGCAAGATGCCACTTATTTCCAGGCTTTGGGTAGCATATGAGCCATTAACCACTGCCCTCTGAGCCTAACCACCAGTCTTTTCACTATCTGTTTGTCCAGCCATAGGGACCATAACATGTTCAGCTGCATACATTAATATTATGGGAAACAGTGTATAAATTCTTTTAAAATATAGGTAAGTGACACAAGCTGCTCTCCCCTTGCCTAGAAACTCAGTCATTTTGTCACAGAAGGTGATTAGGTTTACTCAGACACAACTTACACCTGGCATATCTATGCTGACTGTTCAAAATCAACTTTTTTCTCCTTTATGAGCCCAGATCTGAGACTCACTCAGTGATTTTCTGAAGAACCAAACTATAACTAGCTGGTCTTTAGCTCCTCTGCTTGTGGTTTTTTTTGAAGGTGCATACGTGTGCCCTTCTCCAAATGCTGGGCACCTCCACTGATCTCCAGAGTCATACATCTGTGGCCTTGCAATGTCACCAGCAGCATTCTTGGTTGCAGCCCGTCTGGTCCAATGTATCTGCATGAGCCAAATTCTCCCAGTAATCACTGTCTTGATCCTCAGCCATTGCCGGTAGTTCTGTTTTTTTCTTGAACTCTTCTCAGGCCTGAGAAACCTTGTTAGTGGAAACTCAGGCAAAGAAGACGAAGAGTACTTCAGCCTTATTAGTGTACACTGTGACTAAATTACCCACCTCATTCAGCAACAGTCCCATGTTCTCCTTGTTCAGCCTTTTACTGCTCAGACAGCAGCAGATACTCTTTTTGTTGCCTTTAATGTTCCTTACAAGTCTCAACTCTAATTGAGCTTTGGCTTTCCTAACATCTACTTCTCATGCCCAGGCAATTTTTCTAAATTGCCCCTCTATAGCCTTTTCCTGCTTCTACCTCCTTTAGACTGTGTTTTTGCTCCAGAACTCATTCATGAGCTCCCTATCTGGCCCAGCTGGCCTCCCAGTGTGTCTGCTTGTTTTCCTGTGCTCAGCCTGAACCATTCTTGTATTTGAAGGAGATTTGCTCTAGGCTTTGCTCTGTTTTTGTAAGACAGTGATTTTGTTAGCAGCAGAATCAACTGCATGTTGCAAGAAAAAGTATTACATAACAGAATGGTGTGTTAAGTGTTTTTCTAAAAAACACCTTTTAAAAAAGTAACACCACCAAAAATCTAATAGCTGAGTGAGTTATACATGCCTTGTTCAGACCCTGGGGCTTCAGTGAGACTGCAAATTATCTGACCTGCAGAATAGTGGAGCTTGGAGAGTTCTTAAAGCCTAAGACTTGGCTTTGTTTACACACATAAAATAACCACTGCTTTGATATTGCTAGACAGGAATAAAAATGAGCAGCAATTGCTCTGTTAGTTGTATCTTCTTATTACTGGTAATAGAAAAATGTACACACTTTCTGTGCTGTTTTAATAACACGTGTGAAATTCAGCCAAGTTTATCTCAGACCTGAGAAGTGGAAGAAAGTTTTGGCCGCAACACTAGCAGGGATATGATCTATATGAAACATGATCCTGAGCTCTGGCAGGACTTGCTTGACTGTGAGAGAGAAAATGTGATATAGCACAGCAGCGTCTGAACTGATTTCAAGATTTGTAGCTGCAGGCAATATACTATATGCCATTTCACATACTAAATACACATCTAATTTCCAACTGTATCTAGTACTATATCACTGTGAGGAAAACACTGATAAATGTACAGTACCTAGTATAACAAAGAACTCACAGTCACAGTTTTGATCTTTCTCATCATCTGAAACAGACCTATTGTCAATCATTTCATCTTCAGATACAGCACCCTGAGTTAAATGAAAAGAGACAGAATACCATGCACTTTACCTAACAGTTACCCATTTTAATCTGTCACATAACTAGGTTTCTTGCTGGGTTAATCACATCAAATTCTGTTGCAACAGGTGCCACAAGGCAGCCCTCCCAGTTGTGGTGGTGTAGGCATTTTCTCGCTGTGTTCCAGGTCCCTCCCTGTCTTTGAAGCAGAGCTCCTCATGTAGTGCTCCATTGCTGCATTCAGCAAGTGAGGACAAAAAATACTGAAGAAGGGGTTTCTTTTACACAGTTACGAGCAATAACCTAGAGCAAGCAAATAAAACAACAAGAACAAAGGAAACAGTAACAACCCCATTCATGATTTTGGTTTCTTACTCTGTGAGGGGATTTTTATTATATTTTACACACATATTGTTCTGTATACACGTTGGGTAAATAAAATCAGTCTGTGCCTGACTCTATGCTTAAGTCAAAGTATTTCTTTGAGCATTTCGTAGTTATGGTTCAACACAAAAGATGCATTATCTGACACTATGCATGGTGTTGCTTTGTTCACTGAACTGCCATCAGCTGTGGTATGACTGTTTAAAACAGACATAACTACCTAATTTTGTTTTTCCTAACTCCTTACAATGTGCTTTCTTTGCTTTGTTTGTTAATAAGTAAGTAAAATGAAGTATAAATTTACTAATACCTTCAGATAGTGATTTCTTTTAATTTCATTTTTTACTATTGCTCTCTCATAAGGCCCCAAACACATAAAACATCTGCACTAAATGTTTCAAGCTTCAGACTTCCTTCCCTGAGAGAAGTATGAGAATAGAAATTGAATATAATCCATCTGATTTACCCTCCTTAATTTGTTCCTGAAAGGCACTCAGCTACTATGGTTACATTTTATTAACAGAGTAGTTCTACAGACAGCAAACTGTTGGGTTTTTACTCTTTTGTGTAGCTACACACAGGGGTAACATTCTCCCACTTTCGGCTAAGCGCAGCTGGAAATGAATGGAAAAAACATCTGTTATTGTGGCAAGTTTTATTTCATTTCATTACACTACCTACTCCAGACATTGACATAGAAAATACATAATTACATACATGCATGTTGTGCCCCAGTATGTCCATGTGATTAGCATTAGTAAAGGTGACTCCCCGCTGTCATTATTACATGTATGTCTTTTTAGCTCTTGTCCTTACAGTACAAATATTCAGCCTTAAAAAACCCCTCAGTGTACAGTTGTTAGCTTTGCTCCTCCAAGATTTTGTGTAATGTCAGCTGTGGCAGGAAAGAAAGCTCTTGTCTCTAACGGGAATCAGTTTCTGGGACAGTGATATTCTCTGAGATCTGGACACTGATGACACTGCTCAATCACCTCTTTTTCAGTATGTCACATGTATAAAAAAAGTAATTACACATTCAATAATGCCAAATTTCACTTTTTTAGTTTGTGCATGGCACTGCAACCACCTCCAGTGATAAAGTCTGCAGTATAAATTAGATCATTTTAGAAACAAAACCTTAAATTTAAAAGGTTCAAGTTTAAATCCAGTTAACTACCAAAAATGTGTGATAACACTAATAACTACCTTTCAGTGATTTCAAAATACAGTCCAATTTTTACAAATGAGAAAAGCGTACTATGGGTAGCTGAACCAACTTTTCAAAACTTATACAGTTGATCTATAAAGCATTCAGTGCTAAAGTTTGTATCTGTAAAATAACCAAGATCATTACTCTCTGGAAAGCCAGGTAATATAAAGGTAATGAAACTTCCACCATGGCTGGATACACGCACTGCTGTTAATCTGAGATATTAACAAAACATTTCTTACTGCATGCCAAGTAGATCCTGCAGTGAGCTCAGATTTTTCTAGCAGAACAACATCCTTCAAGCCAGCTTTAGCCAAGTGATAGGCTAGACTCACACCAACACAACCACCTCCGATGATCACCGTGTCTGCTCTATCTTTCCCCAACAAAGGAGAAGGGGTTTCTTTCCTGTGGAAAAAAATAAAATTACAGACAGTTACAAAAAGACAACTGCACTTTGTCCATTTCTCTTGTTAACTGCTCCAATCATAATATAACTTGGTGCCTGTTTAGGAGTATAGGGACACTTGACTTAAAACCTAACCTGTTCACTATCATAGCATCATGGACTCATAGAATGGTTTGTGTTGGAAGGGACCTTAAAGCTCATCTAGTTCCAACCCCCAGCCACGGGCAGGGACCCCTTCCACTAGACCAGGTTGCTCAAAGCCCCGTCCAACCTGGCCTTGAATAATTCCAGGGATGGGGCAGACACAGCTTCTCTGGGCACCCTGTGCCAGTGCCTCACCGCTTTCAGAGTAAAGAAATTTTTCCTCATGTCTAATCAAAATCTATCCTCTTTCAGTTTAAAACCATTCCCCCTTGTCCTGTCACTACATGCCCTTGTAAAAAGTCCTTTTATCTTCTTTCAAATGAAATGCTTTTAAATGATCAGATGTGTAAACAGTAGTAATACAAAAAACAAAGCTAGTTTGCTTTAGCTCACAACTTTAAATCTTTGTTACTTGTCCAGAACACCCTTATATCCTATATGATCCTGTTTCTCAATAGGAAACTATACCCCTGAAGTGACAGTGTCAGAATTTGGCTTTTCAAATGTGCTATAGCATATGCAACACAAAGAGAAAGTCTTTAAAAAGGTCTACTTAGAAAGGCACCTTATCAAATTTCTAAAGCAAGTGTCAGCAGACTACATCAGCATGTGTGTCCATGAACAATAAAAAGAATTTTTACTTTTATATTCTGTCTATGTTGACACACTTTACTTTGCTGAAGTCAAAACATTATAGAAACAGGTTTATGTCAATGGCTCACACCTGCTATTACACCTGGTTGCATTTTCACAACCACTTCAAGCCAGCACAAACCAGAACTGTTGCCATAGTAAGCCCCATTCTCCTCTATCTCATCTCATCCTCCTCTCTACTGCCTTATCCACAGAAAGCCAAGCAGCAAGCCAGATCAGGAATTTATCTTATTTTTAAAAAGGTGGTTTTCTGGGTGTAAGACAAGGTAGAATCTCTTAGTACCACAGCAGTACAGACTGGTGTGAAATCACAGTATGTCTCCCTTCAGGACAGTTAATCAATACTCAATTTTGTCCTTTCCCTCCTTGTATATTTGCTTTCGCAACTTGTCTGGCAAAAGGTTTTCTAATGTGTAACTAGTCTTCCACCCATCCTGCACCCAGAAAATCAAAGTTACTAGTTTATGTATTGTGAGCGGACATCTTATAATGTGACATTTCGCATGCAAATGCAGGAGGAACACGCACCTTCTTTACTCACTGTGTGGCACTGAATGAAACATAAAGTACATGGGAGCCCTGGACATCACAAGTTTTCTGAATTTGGTGCACCACTCACTTGCATGTGCTCTTTTTTGAGATTACACATTAATTTTTGCAAGTTAAGAATAAGCTGTTTAACAGCCAGACATGAGACACACCAACTCCTGTACTGAATTTTGAGGGCCATGGTAACTAAGGTCAAGTGTAGTAGCATTTCTCATGCGTCTTTTATGCCGTGAATTTGAGATTTCCTCACCTGAATTTCATCTTTTTTTCAAACCTTTTCTTTCAAACCCAAGAATCTGGTAAGAATGCGAGGGGTGCCTTCCCTGCGAACCTTAAGGTTCACACAGGCAAAACAGGTGATATTTTGCTCATCGACGTGGCTCGGAAGACAACAGAGGGATCTCTCTATATCAGGTCACTGACTCAAGCCGGGCTGGTCTGGTTTTAGGGGAAGATGTACCGCCTGCCCACCGGGAGGGGCCCCGTGACCCCCGACCG